GGGGGGCTCTGGGGGGGTTTTGCGGGGGCTCTGGGGGGTTTTGTGGATTTGGGGGGGCTCTGGGGGGTTTTGGGGATTTGGGGGGGCTCTGGGGGGGTTTAGGGGATTTTGGGGGTTCTCTGGGTGGGGTTTTGGGTTTCTGGGGGGCTCTGGGGGTGCAGCCCCCCCTCATTTCCCCCCTCCCCCAGCGAGATCAGTGAGATCACCAGCATCAAGAAGGAGGACGTGATCTCCACCCTGCAGTACCTGAACCTCATCAACTACTACAAGGTGGGTCTGCTCACCTGGGGGGGCATCACACACACCTGAGGAGGTCCTGGACACACCTGGGGGGGTCCCAGACACACCTGAGGGGGTCCTGGACACCTGGGGGGGCTGAAAATATCTCTGTGTATCCCCCTTTACAAACCTGGGCGTCACACGCAAACTCAGCCTCACCTGACACACCTGTGCAGGGTCAGTACACCCTGACACACCTGTGCACACCTGTGCAGGGTCAGTACACCCTGACACACCTGTGCACACCTGTGCACACCTGTGCAGGGTCAGTACACCCTGACACACCTGTGCACACCTGTACAGGGTCAGTACACCCTGACACACCTGTACAGGGTCAGTACACCCTGACACACCTGTGCACACCTGTGCAGGGTCAGTACACCCTGACACACCTGTGCACACCTGTACAGGGTCAGTACACCCTGACACACCTGTGCACACCTGTACAGGGTCAGTGCATCCTGACACACCTGTGCACACCTGTACAGGGTCAGTACACCCTGACACACCTGTGCACACCTGTACAGGGTCAGTACACCCTGACACACCTGTACAGGGTCAGTACACCCTGACACACCTGTGCACACCTGTACAGGGTCAGTACATCCTGACGCTCTCCGAGGACATCGTGGAGGGCCACGAGCGGGCGATGCTCAAGCGGCTCCTGCGCATCGACGCCAAGTGCCTGCACTTCACCCCCAAGGACTGGAGCAAGCGGGGCAAGTGGTGAGGCCACGCCCCGCCAGGCCACGCCCCCCTCATTAAACACCACCTGGCCCCGCCCACACCTGGAGCTGCAAACGCTTTATTGAGCAGAAAGGGGGCGGGGTGCTGCCAGGCCCCGCCCACAGTGGGACTGGATTTGTGGGCGTGGCTTTGATGCCCCGCCCATAGTGGGCGTGGCTTTGTTTGTGGGTGGGGCCTCCTGAGAACATTTTGATGTTTTAATAAAAGGGGTGGGGCTTACACAGGCTCCACCCACACTGGGCAGGGCTTAAGGCACGGCGGTTCTAATGGACCCCGCCCCCTTTGGGCGTGGTCGGATTTGTTAATGATGTGGGCGTGGTTTATCCGGTGGGTGTGGCCTGTCATGGCTCCGCCTCCTCATCGCTGTCCTCGGTCACGGGGGCGTGGAGCTGGGGGAGGGGCGGGGTGAGGGGGGGGCCTCAGGGACCCCCACCCACAGCCCCAGGTCCTGAGACCCCCAAATGTGACCCCACACCCCCCCAGATGTGCCCCAGCCCCCCCAGATGTGACCCCAGACCCCCAAATGTGACCCTGGGACCCCTAAATGTGACCCTGGGACCCCCAAAAGTGACCCTACTTCCTCCAATGTGACCCCAGATGTGCCCCAGCCCCCCCAGATGTGCCCCATCCCCCCAGATGTCCCCC